GTCTCTCTCTCTCTCTCTCTCTCTCTCTCTCTCTCTCTCTCTCTGTGTGTGTGTGTGTGTGTGTGTGTGTGTGTGTGTTTCTCTCCCTCCCCCCTTTCATTCCATTATAATATTAATTCTACATCACAGTCTGTTACATACTTTGGTCTTAGAGTGTAAATCTGTTTGTCCCACTGTAATCTGAGTTTTATGGTATTCAAGATTTGAAGTTTTTGAATAGCTACATGCACCCAGGTCACACAGGTCAAGATTTACTCCTTCATGACTCAGCAGACCCGAATTTTACGATCGGCAGCAGACGAGAGAAAATGTTACGCACTGCACATTCAGAATCATGATACACAAATCAGAAATCAGAAACAAACATTTGCTTATTTCACTGTATGCAAGTTGTTGCCTGGCTTTTTGAGGTTCAGATGTTTTCAAAATACAAACAAACAAACTAGAATTGAAACTTCCAAATGATTTTCGTATTTATCCTCTTTTTTCCCTTCTTTTTTTCAAGTGCCCCATAAGTGTGTTCTAGTGTGTTCGAATGAGAAGAATACTCGTTTCAGTGAATTATAAAATTCAAGATTTGAAATTTCCACAATGGTCCTCAGGGTGGCAATCTGGTCGGTGGTTGAGCGATTTTTCCGGAAACTAGCCTGTGCATCCCGTAGTCTTGGATCCGTTTCAGTCTTGATTCTCTCTCGAATGATTCTGTTGAAGACCTTACCAGGTATTGAGAGAGGAGTGATCCCTCGGTAGTTGCTACAATCGTTGAGATTATCCCCTTTTTATGAAAACTTCACGAGGTGTCCTTCTATCCAATCCTTCGGGAACTTGCTCTCTTTTCCGATACTAGTAAACAGTGGGAGTAGGATGTATGCCTTCACATTGGCATCTGCTTTTAGGGCCTCAAGTGGAATCTGATCAGGGCCGGCCGCATTACCTTTATTTTTTGTTCAGCTACTTAATGGCATCCAGAATCTCTTGTTTAGAAGGGGAATCACAGCAGGTTGATAACTCATTTCTTGCTGGCAGGATGTTTGGCGGGTTACTCGGTGTTGGTTTGTTGAAATGCTCTACCCATCGTTTCGACTGAGCTTCCTTTCCAAAAATGGTTTTCCCCTCTTGATCCTTTACTTATACTTCAGGTTTCCCATATTTTTCAGAGAGGGTCTTTGTGGTCTGGTAAAGGATTCGCATGTCAAGAAATCACTTAAAATAGACAAGGAGGAATTCACAACACCCTACCGCTGCTTCCTCTGCTTTCTCTGCCAGCCTGTTCGTGAATTCCTCCTTGTCTATTTAAAGTGATTTCTTGACATCCTTAGCTGTTGCCCTGTACTGCTTCAATGCATCCGCTCTTGATCCTTTAGTTCTACTTGCATTCTCTTCTGCCTTCAGTTGTCTTCTAATCCTAATTAAATCCAATGAGTGTTGGCTAATCCATTCATTGTGCAGCATTTTCGTCTCAACGAGTACCTCTAGACATGTTGATGTAAAGACTTCTATGACCTTGTCTAGAGGTTGAAATCTGTTCCTCCGCTGCAGCTAAAACTCCTCTTTCTTGTCTCCATCCAAAAGACTTACTTGGAACTTCGTTCTTTTGGTTCCTGTGCTGGTTCCGTGCTTTTTGAGTCGAAGCTTGAGTTTTGCCAACTGCATAATATAATGATCCGATCCAACATCTGCCCCTCTCTGAACTATGACATCTTTCAGTGAACGCATGAACCTACGAGAGATACAAAAATGATCCATCTGGTTCTCTGTCACTCCATCTGGCGATACCCAGGTAGCCTTGTGAATCCTCTTGTGGGGAAAAACAGAGCCTCCTAGGACAAAACTGTTGAAATCGCTCACCGTTCTCATTCATTTGTCCCAAGCCATAATTCCCTCGTAACATGTGTCGTACTGACCTATCTTGGAATTGGCATCTCCCATTTTTTATGTTGGCATCCTTCTTTGGTAGCTTGTCAATGACCCCCTGAAGCCGGCTGTAAAGGCATCCTTGTCTTCATCTAAAACATCATTTGTTGGGGCGTAGATCTGGACTACATTCTTATTGATGCTCTTGCTCCTGGTAATGAATGAAGCAATGATGATCTTCTCCCACTGTGGTTCCCATCCTCTAAGTGACTTCTGTGCGTACTTACTATGATTCCCACTCCTTCCGCATGATGCTTGTCTTCCCTCCCAGAATACAATATTAGTTCCCGCGAGCTGAGCTACTTCTGTCCAGACTGTATCCAATGGGTTTAGCTAACTCTTAGTTTTTGCAGCTTGTGTCTCTTCATCTCTTGTAATACTTGAGAACTCTTTCCTGCTTCATACATGGTGCGAACGTTCCACGATGCAATCAGGAGACTTGTTAGACTAAGAAGGTTTCAGGTCGTGGGAGTCCTTTCGGCTTTGTCCGCTGTCCTTCTTGTTCCTGCTAAAGCAGAAGCTCCTCCATCTCTCAAGATCGAAACATAAAAAGCCGTGTTTGTCCGTATTTCTCTAACTGGCTGTTTTTACTGGGTTGGGTAGCTGGCCCTCCGCAAACTGACTCTTTCAGAAGACCACACATACGCACCTTTAGGGCTAGATCCTCACCGGTGTTGGGCCCGACGGTCAGACCCGACCCAACGATTTTTTACCGGCTGTGCCGCCCATACCGCCACTTGTACCCGACGGTCAGACAACATCAATAGTAGAAAATGGCGTGTAGCAGGAGGAAAAAGTTGTTGTTCTTGTTTTGGTTAGGAAGGGGTTCGCCTCTCATTGAATAGGTCCTGGGTACGAGTCCAGATAGCGACGGAAATTTTTCTTCTCCGAATTGTCTCCTTTCACCTCCTTTCCTGCTTTCGTCTCCACTCTCTGCTCCCATCCCCCC